TGGTGTTGTTGTTGTTGTTACATTGTGTGATTGCTAAGGTGTGTTCTTTCATATAATTAGGATAGTCTATCAGAAAGTTGATTAATTTTAGAAATGCATTAACTGCTTCTAAAGAGATGAAATCTGCTTTAATCAAACTGGGATTTTTGAAAAGCTTTTGTGAAAGGTTAATTCATCATTCTACAGAAGAAAGTGTCCCCTGGGGACCTCAGGACTGAATGTGGGAGAGCAGGCCCCCAACGACAAGGAAAAATCCTCAAAGTTGTGAAAAATAATTTAGCAAATGTGATTCTTTCTGTGTATTTTAACATGTCCATGTATTTAACCAGAAACTGAATCATTGAGCAGAAGGGTTGTTTTTTAAATACAGTTGTCTGAAGAATATTTTGGAAAAGTTTATAGCCTAACTTTTTAACAAGATGATAGATAGCTTTTCATATGTAAAGTAGTTTATTTTAAAATCTCTTTTCAATCTCCAAGCCTCCCAAGAATGAAGCGGGCTTTGATTTAGTCCCATTTCACAGAAAAACAATTCAAGGCAAAGGGAACTGCCACCATCTGTTCAGGTTAACAAGGAGTCCACTAGCTGTGTGGCCTTCCCCAGACGAAGGCACCCTGGCTGAGGAGGTCAAAGCAGGGCAGGAAACTGGCATCCTTTATTCCAGCCCTCGAAATGTCTGGACAAATTGGTGGTAAAAGTACTTACGAAGAACTTTCTTAGAAAGGGGAAAAGGTTGGTTGTTCTCCATTTCAATGGATAATTGAAGAATCCAGCTTTAAAAGGATAGTAAGGGACCTGGAGGAGCCAAGGGGATCACAATTTACCTTTTATGGGGCAGCAATTGGGGGGCAGGTGGGGGCATAATTTGCTGCCTACTTGAAAAAGTGGATGTTTTCTCCGCTGAAGTTCCTGCCCTTACAGGTTTAATTAAAAGCTCTAGAAATCACTGTAAATAACAACCGCAAACTACTGAGGGGTTGGATTGCAAGTTATAGAATATGGCCAGTTTTGCATAGGGGCTTTGCAGAGGAAAGGGAAGCCGGGAGAACCGTAAGAGGCAGAAGACAGAGGAGGGGAAGACGGTCTTCCGCGTTGCGGATTTCCAGTTACCCCCGGCACCCCCACCCCCGCACCGAAACAATAGGAGGAGGGCGCCGTTGCTCACCCGGGGCTGGACGCGAGACTCACTGGCCGGGGCCTAACGCAAGACCAAAGGGCCCCAGCCCTCCTGCGCGGCCATCGTGGCTAAAATAAGGGGACGCTGGGGTCCCAGAGATCTTGCGGCTGGATTTGCCCTTGCCCCGCGTTCCACAGGGAATCACTAAGAAAATGCCTCAAGGAGAGTTCCAGAATTTGAATTTACTAGGGGTGTCTAAGTTCAAACTCAGGAAAAAAAAAAAAAAAAAAAGACAGGAAAAAACACTAACCCTAGAAAGGCGACGACAGCAATCACGTGTATTGTATAGCTTCCGCGCTTCGCTTTTCCATCTTATATTTGAATTGGGCAGTTGGAGTCCGGCTGACATTGGGGTCACTCCGCCAGGAAATGTTGTGGCCTTCGCTTATCTCGAGAAATAATAAATTGCAATGTCCTATTAATATTAAAGGGTAATGATTTTGCTTTTCAAACAAAACGTCGGTATCTGCCGAATAAAAGGGGAAGAGATCCTTTGGAAGGTAAGGAACCCCAATTTTTATCAAGCCTACCGCCTTTTGAACACAGCATATGCTCTTAATTTTTTAAATTCTTTTGCCGTTCCTAAGAAATCCAAATCAGCGTCATTAAAGCCAATTTCTCTTTCTCTCCCTTTTTTTCTTCCTCTCTGCCTCTTCTTTCAACAGTGGTGTGAAAGTTCAGTTATTCTCCGTCACGAGTAAAAAGCTTTGGAAATCAGCTAATGTGCCAACACCGGGAACATATCCAGGCCCACGGTGCGAAAATGGAATATGTGCTGTTGAATTATTATTTTTGTCCTGTGGGTTTACATCTACGCCTTTGTATTATGTAAATTTATGAGAAGCTGTGAATCACAGGGTTAGGTAGAGGAGGGGTTTCTTCCCCTCCACAGGCAGCAGGAACCGACCCCATTCAGTCTTTGAATGATGCACAGCCTTCTTCTTCTTCCGGCTTTGTACCCAGGCCCAGCTCCTCTCCCCACCGCCCACCCCGCGGCCCGGCGGGGGCTCAGGGCTGCCAAGCAGGCCCCAGGGGCCTCGGCGGCGGGCACGTTCGTGACATCAGTCGGCCGGCCCCACGAGGTCACAGCGGGCCGCGGGGTGCTGCTCCCCTGTTGACCGGCGTCAACACTGAGGCGGGGCGCTTAACGCTCCGCGGTGTCTCCTGTACCCTCTTCCTCTCTGGGTCTAACGGGAAACTATGAGGGCAGACCCGCCGTCAGTGAAAGCCAGAGAGTGAAATGAACTTAAAGAGGACACGGAGGGGAGAGAAAAAGAAACATGACTTCCAAATTAATTCAAACCAAGACAGCAATAATTGAACACGGTAAAAGTTAGTAAGAGTCCTTAAAGACGGATCAAACCTCTTCTTGGCATTTACATCTCAACTCTTGAAATGTGTACAGCGCCTGTGGGAGCGGGTCTGAGAGGGGCCTGGCGGGGAGGGGCTAGTTTATATCGCAGAAGGGGGTCCACCCGCACCAAGAGAAGGGGGACGGCCGGTGGCTGAGCGTCTCCCTGCCTCTTGCAGGGACTGTGGAAGCCAGCTGGAGGTGGCCGCGGGGTATCGCGCTCGGCGGACAGCCATCCCATTTCCTCCTCTTTTAGCAAGGAAGAAGCGCTTGGCAGGGAGAGCTCGGGAACCGGAACGAAAGGACAAATTGGAGGGTGGGGCCCAAAGGGGAAATTTGAAGGCAGCTCTTCAACAGAAGAATCTACTTAGATCTAGCTTTCCCCGGGACCGTCAGCAGATACCCAGGAATTCTAAGCACAAGCCAAACGGCTCCGAAGGGAGGGTTCGCGGGGCCCGGGGTAGGCACAGAAATGTATGACAATGGGCAATGAAAGGTTTTTGGAGTAGAACTCAGAGGTGACCCCCCAACCCCGTTCAAAATCGGCTTAAGAAAGTGTTTTCCGGGAAACTGAAAATGACAAGCAAAACTTATTAAAAGATGCTCTAGTTCCTCCTTGGGCGTGCCACGGCGTCAGGCCTGTTTTCTTTCTCTTGACATCTAGATGAAACGGCCCTTCAGTTACACTCCGAGTCGTCAAAGCAAGTCTATTAGCGACCGTTCTGTTCAAAAACTTTTCAAACGGGAGTCCTCCGCCATCTGTTACTTGGTCTTTAAACCCGATCCGCGCCCCCTCCCGAAGCCCTTTGGTGACTGCCCCCTCTCCCAGCCTTGGGGGTGGGGAGGGGAGGGACGCAGCCGCCGCGGGATCCGCGGGGGTGCGGCGGGGAGAGGGAGGAGCGCGATCGCGCCCCAAAGGCCCGCGGGGGGCGAAGGTGTGCAGGCCGGAGGTCAGAGGGACGCGGGTGGCGACGGCGCGGCGCGGGCAGTCGGGGCGCCGGGGAGGCCCCGCGTGGGCGCGAGAGCCGGGCTGGCGGCGCCCCCGCGCGGGGGGCGGGCGGGGAGGTCTGGCTGGCGGCGGGCTGCGGGAGGAGCGCCCCATCTCCCAGGCCCCTCTAAGCCGCTCGGGTCACCATACCTAGCCCCTTCAAGGCAGTGTCACAGGGCCCGGTGGCCCTCGGCCTCGCCAACGTCATTTTAACTGTTCGGGACTCCTGAGCCAGGACCAGTAGTGGAGAGTCCAGCCGGGGAGAGTGGTCAGCGTTCCCGTCTCACTTCGGGCTTCCATTAAATGGCTCTGCTCCGGGAAACGAATCGTGAGTGAGGCGGGGCACCTCCGCGCCGGCGCCCGCAGCGGGAACGCAGGTCCCGTCCGAGGCCAGGGCCGGGGGACGCCGAGGTCGCCGCGGTTATGGAGGCCCCCGCGGCCGGGAGCCGCGGGTCGGCGCGGGGCGCTCCCGGTCGGGAGCCGCTGACGGCCGGGGCCCGGGAGGTAACTGCATTGTTAAACGGTTCTCAGAGATTTCTAGCTCGAGGATTTTTTTGATTTACCTTTTTTGCTTCTCCATTTCTCTAATCTAATTCTCTGCTCTGTATTATTTGAATTTCTATTATAGACATTTATTTCGTGGGAAATAAGAAAGTTTGAAAATAACATCAAAACTGCTCTAAACCTCTTGGGTAGTATCAAGGAAAGAATCGCGCTGGATTGAATGTAGTTTTTATTTTGGCCACAAAAATTATCTGGGGACTGCTGCAAAAACGCTAATCAGCCAATTGCATAACCAGCTATCAGTGTAGAACAAGAGAGCATATTTGGGGCGTCCTCTTCTAATTGTTCAGTTCCCAGGATTCAACAACACCGTTGTAAATTGCAGGCAAAGCTTGTCTGGCTTTTGTAGCTTGACTTCTAGGTAGCTTCTCAAATAAGCAGGAGAAATTGGGTTGCTTGTTTATAAACTTCTTTTTCCATCAAGTCCAGCCCTGAGTCGAGTCCGTAGGGAACGCACGTCACAGGCCTGTGGGAACGGGTGAGAAAAATCCCAGCATTAGCGCACGGGCAGGAACAAGCCCAGGGCAGGTGATCCCTGTCGGTAATGTTTGCCGGCTCATTAACAGCTCCCACCTTTGGGGCTCTTCCTTTACTTTTACAAACTGATTTCATATGTAAATACTGTTCTGAGGACAGTAATTTCACTAGGTTGCAACGAAGCCCTACTAAAAAAGAAACAGTAGTAACAACAAAGGTCTAAAGATGAACAACGAACCACTTGCCGACCTCCCCTCCCCCAAAAGAAAGGAGGGCTCTGAGTTAACTGACCCCTTCTCTACAACTAACCAGTGATACTACCCTTCACATGCTCTACAAAATTAGCAAAAAAATCCACATCTGCTTCCAAACTAAAAGCACATTAGTACCCTTAAATCTGAACTTGTCGCCCAAGTGTTTGTTGATATGCTAGGAAGTTAGTTCTCCCTGTGTATTCATTAACTAATCTGACGTACTCAACAAGACTCTTTCCTTGAACCTTGCAGACCCTCCTGTTTGGGGCCTACTCCAACACCCCGCCTCCATCACACACCACAAGAAATAACAAAAGACCAGTCCGGGATAAAGACTGAGCAAAACTGTAGAAGAATTTAGGAATGTTTTTGCTCCTCTAGAAGGAAGGTAGGTTGCTATTTATTAAATAGGAAGAACTGCGGATGGGTCTGAGTGCCTGGGGAGGGGAGGTGGTCAAAATAATAATCTTGCCCCATTTAGCTCAGGGTAGCTCATAAGAAGCAAAGGGAAAGCAGACTGCTATTTTTGATGAAGAGGCAGGAGTCGTGGACGTTGGAAAGACCTGAAAATCCTAAAAAATGACCAGAGATGAATTAATGCACTTGGCAGAATGTTGGATAAGTTATAATATTTCTCAATCCATTCTTTTATTTTTTAAAAATGCAACATATTCTGTGACTTATTAAGGAATAAGAGATGAAAGATTGTGGGTTATTTGGTCATTGAAGGCTCCACTATATTACCTTTTATTTCAGATTGCAATAATTTTGACCAAAAACTGCACTGGCTTGTGATAGGGATGTAAATAAAAAGCCTGTGAAAATCATGCAACTTGAGCAATCAAGAACACAGTTTAGGAAGCACTGAAATAAAAATTAGATACTGTAGGCAAAAAATGAGAACTTTAAATTATTTTAGAGGAGTAGAACTTTTTCTTATTTTCTCAAAAGGTCTTAACTCGAGTTTATCTGGTCTGTTCATATCAAGGACTGCTCTGCTCTCCTCAGTACATCTCATGCAGGATAAGCCACACAGTTAATACTCACCTTCCACAAGGATTTAAAGTGGGGCAAATAAATACTGCCTTTCTGTGGCTGGGAGGGGAGGGACACTTAATCGCCAGCTCTGGCCAAAAAAGAGGGGATTATAAGATTCTCCAAGAAAATCCAATTGTAGTTTCTATTTTGCCATTAACAAAATGAACAAGATTCTCTTGCATTCTTTTAATAAACAATTTTAAAGTATTTGACAGTTTTAGAACCTTCGAAATTTGCCAAATATGCTCTGCTTTTCTTGGTGGTGTTTGTTATCTTTCAAATGTGTTTGGAAAAAAACCCCAACATACTGGACAGATTTGACAGTAAGATGGAAGCCCTTCCTAAATACATTTTGCATTCTGTTTAAGGTAATCCTTACTTAATAGTTTTTTTTTAATTAACAGTTTTAGGTTAGGTTTTGAATAGAAAATATTAACAAATGTTGGAATATCAAGACCTTGATTTATAAAAGCACCTCTTCAGGATTAGTCTGATGTTTTTAAAGGAAGGGCATAATTGCTACTTTGAGATATTTGTGTTACTCAGATGACACCATACTTTCAAACACTTGTCAAAAAGGCAAATCCCGAAAAGACCAGTGAAAAGCAAACAGTTGAAATATTAACTATACAAAACACGTATACCCCTTAGCCAATAATTTTCCTTTTTAGTTCAGTGTCCACCGAAGGAGAAATTTACTGAGGTCAAAGCAAGGCTCCTTTGCCGTTAAGAAGGAGGGAGTGGGGGAGGGGGAAAAGGGAAGAGGGAGGGACACGCGACGAACGTAAAACAAACTGGTGGCATTCAGTCAAGAAGGCAGGTAACGCTCCGGAAGCGGGTGAGTTGTACAAGTCAGCTGGGCGCGCCAAAGCTTTCCAGAGCCAGGCCGTTTCGTGCTTCTTTGCTTTTTCCTTTAAACCTGGCCCGGTGTTGGGAGCAGTGCAGCATGAGGGGGATTTTTCGATGTTGGGAAGTGGCAGGTAGGAAAGGAAATCTGACCTGCCCCAAAAGGCAGCAATTAAAGTCTTAACCACGACCCATCTGTCGTGGGACGCCCCCCATCGCCAACTCCGCCTTTCCCCTAGCAAAGCCGTCCCGCGCTCTTTGTCTGAGCAGGGAAGAAGAGGAGACAGGTTCTGAGGCCCCAGCAGCAAGAGGAGGGAAAATTTCCAGCGTGTGCGCACCCTGGGTGACCGAGCCCGGGCCAAGAACCGCTCCGAAGTGGTGTGGCGCGTCTGCCCGGACTGGCGTTAGTGCCCTACGCGCGCCTCAGTCGGCACTTCCGTACCACTGCTTTTGTCCTCCTAGCCCGAAGCCACCCCAAGACCTGAAATGAGGCACTTCCCTGGCCTACTGGTTAAGGCCAGTCGCATCCAGACCTTTCTCCGCATTTAGCCCTTTGGCTGCCTTCAACTTCCAATAGGACTCACGCCTCCTCCCCCACATCCTTAGCAACTGAGCTTCTCCACCACCCTCCCAGCTGCCCTGCTTTGCCGCTGGGCATCAAGGCGCCTTCCCTGCCCAGGCTCTGGGCCGTTTCCACCCCTGTGCGTTCGCCCGGCGGGGGCGGGGCAGACCCTCACGAAAAGCCTGTGTGAGTGGCCTGGGCTGAGCAACGGGGTAGGGAGGAGGGATTATTTTGAGGTTAATTTCCTCCGTTTGGGGTCCAACTTCGCATTTTGGGATGGCATTCCTCAGGGGCTCAACAACCCCAGGGCTTCTAGCCTGCTTGCTTCCAGCCCCCCGCTGCCGACCCTTTCCAGGGCTCTTGCGAGAAGACACCCACAGCCACCCGATGTCTGGCACCCGTCACCACCTGTTCTACACGCACTCACTGAGGGTAACTCACCAGGTAGATGGCACTCTGGGCTGCTGCGGACGACCACTCACCGGGGCGTGCAGGCCGCCAGGTTCTGAGCGGGCACCTCTGCGCTCTTCCTCCACTTCCTGGCTCGAGCCCCCGGCCTCCGACTCCTCGCTGCGCAGCCGCTAGTCCCGGGGCTAAGCTCTGCACGTTCGCAGGCTTGCAAAGGGGAGCAACGCGGCGCGTGAGCGCCGCTGTTCTCGGCGCGCTCCGAGCCGCGCCCGCCTAGGCGGCGAGACCCCGCGCAACCCGAGGAGCAGCCAACGGAGTCTTCCCGGAACAGTCCTAACGCTCTACCACTCCTCCCGGAGAGTTTTTACCGGGGCGCCAGATCCCGGAGCGCCTGCATAAGGGGGCGTTGCAGGGGCTAGGTCTCCACGCGCTCGCGCGCCCGCAGGTCCGGGCGCTCGCCGCCTCGCGGTGCACACACACCCTGGCTGCGTCCCGCGCTGCTGTAAGGAGGAGTGCGGACTCCGGCAGTACCGACGTGGGGGGTTGGGGGTGGAATCACTAAGTTGTTTCCCTTCTCAGCTCAACTTTCAGTATTTAAAATGCTCCGACAGAGCTCTGAGAGCAGGTACTTAAATACTTTTTCCGGACTCTCAGTGGGGGTACAAGAGCGCGCGCGTGTGTGTCTGTGTTTATCAGGGGTGGGGGACCTGTAGTAGTAGCCGAGGCTTCTTTTGGTGTGACACCGCTTATTCCTTGCAACTCCTTCTCAACTTTGTGGCTGGAGTGCGTCTTTCCCGAGCTTATGTCACGACACCGCATTTACAAAACCACAAACACATAACAAGCCTCCCAAGGCCTTTAATACTCAGGGACGTTTTGTGAGGCCAGTTACCTGCTGGCGTCTTCCAAGTGGTCCAGACTCGGTTCGGGCCGCAGAGACTCTGGGATGCGGGATTCCTGAGCCCCACGCCCTAGAGGAGCCCTAGAAAAAGGGCTGCGGGGGAGGCGGCGCGGCTTTGACCCGGGCCCAGTGTCTGCCCGGCGGAACCGTGCAGGGAAAGCTCGGATTTCGCTGCGGTCGGCTTCCTGGCCGTGGCTTTCTGGAGCCTGGCGTTTCATAAATATAGCCTGGCGTTTGCCCCTGAATTAGACTCTGTTTCCTTATTTAGCCCTTGCACAATGATTTTAGATGATGTCACTTAGAGCTAAACGAGAAAATTGATCTCAGATTTGCTTGGCCTTTAAAGCCTGGTTAAGCAGATTGAGAATTAAAAAGACAGAGGAAAAAGCAAAGGGGCGGGGGAGGATGGCGAGGTGTGCGCCCGAAAGACTGTGAGCAGAGGGGAGGGCGTGCCGCTCTGCGAAGAGCGCCCCCGCCTCTTCTGGGCGGGGGAACTTCACTCGCCAATGAAAAGTAGTCACTGACTGCAAAGGAAAAAAAAAAGTTTTCCTGTTGACTGTTGGAAGCGAATTGAGCAATTATCTAGTTTACCTTCTCCTCTTGGAAGTTAACGATTGGCGAGATCTTGGCTGCGTTATTGACACAACACTTTCTATTGATAGCAATAAGTAGTGATTGTCCTCGAGTCATTGGTGCGCCAAGAACTCTGCGATGGGCTGGCAGGAGTCCATTGGGCTGGGCAGGCAGGTTCGGCTGGTGATGCTGGGGAGGAGGAGGAGGAGGCTGCTGGTGGTGATGGTGCCCGTCCTCCTCTCCGCAGGTCTGTGACAAGCAGGGAACAAGGACGACGGCGCAGCCTGGCCCCGGCTGACGGACGCTGGCGACTCAGTCATGGACAGTACCTGCCACAACGCGACTGCCAAAATGTTAGCTACTGCTCCGGCCCGGGGCAACATGATGAGCACCTCCAAACCCTTGGCTTTCTCCATCGAACGAATCATGGCGCGCACCCCCGAGCCCAAGGCCCTGCCCGTCCCCCACTTCCTGCAGGGAGCCGTGCCCAAGGGGGACCCCAAGCACTCCCTGCATCTTAACTCGTCGATCCCCTGCATGATCCCTTTCGTGCCTGTGACGTACGACACGAGCTCCAAGGCAGGAATGACTGGCTCAGAGCCGCGGAAGGCGAGTCTGGAGGCTCCGGCGGCCCCGACGGCGGCGCCCGCAGCGCCCGCGTTCAGCTGCAGCGACCTGCTCAACTGCGCGCTCAGTCTCAAGGGCGACCTGGCTCGCGACGCGCTGCCACTGCAGCAGTACAAGCTGGTAAGGCCGCGTGTGGTCAACCATTCTTCCTTCCACGCCATGGGAGCCCTGTGCTACCTGAATCGAGGTGACGGCCCATGCCACCCGGCGGCCGGCGTTAACATCCACCCGGTGGCCTCCTACTTCCTCAGTTCCCCTCTGCACCCTCAGCCAAAAACGTATTTAGCTGAAAGGAATAAACTGGTGGTCCCGGCGGTGGAGAAGTACTCCTCGGGAGTAGCTTTCAAAGACTTGTCCCAGGCTCAACTGCAGCATTATATGAAAGAAAGCGCCCAGCTTCTGTCGGAAAAAATCGCATTCAAAACCTCTGACTTCAGCCGAGGCTCTCCTAATACCAAGCCCAAGGTTTTCACTTGCGAAGTGTGTGGAAAGGCAAGTACTATGTAGAAGGGAGGTCTCCCTCCCTTCCTCTCACCCTTCCTTCCTTCCTTCCTTCCTTCCTTCCCGCCTGCCTGCCTTCCTCCCTCTTTCCTTCCCTACTTTCAAATTTCATTTTATTTTGCTATTATTTGTGTGCATTTGCTATAAGGTTATTTCCTTACCACCCCCCTCCCCGCACCGGGTTTGATTTCAAAGTGCTTGTTGGGCTAACCTGTTCTCCCTGTGTTTAACTTTAAGGTCTTTAACGCACACTATAACTTAACTCGTCACATGCCAGTGCACACAGGAGCTAGACCCTTCGTTTGCAAAGTGTGTGGAAAGGGCTTCCGGCAAGCCAGCACCCTGTGCAGGCACAAGATCATTCACACCCAGGTGTGTGTTTGTCTGTCTCAATTTCACCTGATTTACTTCCAAACGGTTTGTAGAAAAATAGCTGCTAAACTCTTACTCTTTAGCATAAGTTTGAAATGTGCTAGCTGGACAGGGGGAAATGCCATGTTCTTGCCTTTGTTCTGCTTAAAAGCATGAGAGACAGAATTACTGTGTTTTTGAGTTTGCAGGACTCCCCTTAATAACAAAATACCCTAACTTCCCACTTTTCTTCCCTTTCTCATAGGAAAAACCTCACAAATGTAACCAATGTGGCAAAGCATTTAATAGAAGTTCCACTTTAAACACACATACCCGAATACACGCAGGCTACAAACCGTTTGTGTGTGAATTCTGTGGCAAAGGATTTCATCAAAAAGGTATAGAACCCAGGGGGTGTTGCCTTTCATGGTAGTCTTACTGAAGGTTCTAATCTTTTCCAGGTATTTTAGAAAAAAAAACAAACGATTTTTTAAAGTGCAGCTAGTTACTGGACATATGCTGACATTCCAACCTCCTACCGGTGCGTCTGATAAGTATTAGAGAAAGACATGGTTTATATACTGAGGGGGTATTTCCTAACTGCTTGTTCTAGTTTTATAAAATTGGATTGATAAATGTGTTTTCAAGTGTGGAGGGAACAGCCTCATTGTTGGTATTTACAAATAAACTTGGGGGAGAGAAGTGCAGGCGCTGAGCGCAGTCCTGCACCTGCTCTCCGAGCTCTCCCAGCTCTTCCACTTGCTTTCCAATAGTCCACTCCTCTCTTTTCAAGCTCTCTTTTCAGATCCACGTCCCTGTCATTTGTCTGTTTCAGGGAATTACAAAAACCACAAGTTGACCCACAGTGGGGAGAAGCAGTTCAAGTGCAATATCTGCAACAAGGCTTTCCACCAGGTTTACAATCTCACCTTCCACATGCACACTCACAACGACAAGAAGCCCTTCACCTGTCCCACGTGTGGCAAGGGCTTCTGCAGGAACTTTGACCTCAAAAAGCACGTCCGCAAGCTGCACGACAGCAGTCTGGGGCTGGCCCGCACGTCTGCTGGGGAGCCCGGCATGGACCCGTCGCCCCCTCTTCAGCAGATGCCACCTGCGACCTTGCCGCCTCCGCTGCCCCCACTGCCACCCCCTGGGCCCCTGCAGCCCGGGCTCCACCCGGCCCATCAGTGATCAAGGCCAAAGTCCCTTCCCAGCCCCTTTCGGGTCCCCACTACTGAGGCAACGGGGGAATAGAGCTGGGTCCTGCAGATCCAAGCTTGTCTGCAGACCCCAGGGCATATTGGGCCCCGTATGTTAGAGCTGATCAGAAGCCTCTGCATTTCCCAGCCTTTCGCCTCTTGCATGTACCTGCTAAATGGTTTTGTGTATTATATCCTATATAGGCACTAACGATTATGAGAAAATTTGGGGTTTTGTTTCTGATTTTTTTTTTTTTTTAATTTGGAAAGACTTCCTCTCGGGTGGAGAGATGGTGTTTGTTTTGTTTTTTTAAAAAACAAAATTCTGCTGTATTTATTGAGATCTGTATTATCCTACCCGGGAATGCTGCACCATTTTAATTTTATTATTGTATATATTTCCATTGTGTTATTCTGCTATCTCCTGATGCCTGCCGATCGTTTACTATCATTTCCTCTTTCCCTGAGGTAACGAGACACTGTGTGTATGTTATATATACACGCATAGATGTGTGTGCCTGTAAAAGCACGTTCCACATTCGTGATCACATACACACACATACACATTAGAGAAAGGTGGTTCACTATGGATGAATTTGAATTTCGGTTTTGATTCTTGCACGTGGAAATTGATTCATTGACTGTTGGAAATAAATACTTGGAACATGCTTATTTAATCAACAAACTTCAGGGTTCTGTTCATATTATTCAGCTAGAGATCACTATTCTGACAACCTCATCCTTCCATATTCTTTAAAAGCCCAACCCTGGGTTAATATCACCTAATGTTTAATCTGAAAAATTCACCAAGAACAAACGATAGTCTCTCTAAACAGTTATAACTTTGGTAAAGTAATGAAATTTGACAAAGTTCAGAGACAGAAGATGTGGAGTTTTCCAACAGAAACATGTCTTTGTCCGGGGCCATCTGATACGTTTGTAGCGCTCAGTTAAATGGAAACAACATATCTAGGAGAGGTGTGTAATATACCAATCATGCTTTAGGACAATACCATCCAGAAGGGTATCTGTTGTTTGCATCCTGAAGGCACATACTGATTTGTACACAGCTGGCAAAAAGAGCCTCCGTGTTTTTATGTGTGTGTATATGTTTATAGACGAATATACTTCCATTCAAGGAGGAAACATGGATGAAAACCAAAGTGTGGCGGGTGCCAGGTCCTTGAAATGCTTCAAGTGTTAATCAGCAGCTCCGCTGTGAGCTCGGGCTCTGGTGTTTTCTAACTGCAAGTCTCTCCTGTTTTCTTGCCAAAACAGTGAAACAACTGCTAAAGACTTTAATTAAGAGGGGTAATTAGTTCAGATTTATCAAAGCCGGGTTGTTATACTATTAGCTGCTCAGTAGAAGCTGCCAGACAAACTCGCAGCGCAGCCATCCCACAGCAGCGGGACCACATCCGGGGAGAGCTGCTGGAGAAAGCGGGCCGCAGGGGTCCCCGCCTCGCCACCGCGGTCCCCGCACCCCTGCCAGCCCGCTGGGTGCGTCTCGGCCCCTCCCTCGGCCCGGCGCTCCCGGCAGGCTTGGCTGCCGCGGACAATCCACCGCAGTTGCACACGGCGGGCGCAGGCTGCAGAGACCCCGAGACTTCCTTCCTGCGCCTGGGGCAGAGCAGCGTCGCCAACTCTTGGAGCGCCCCGACGGATGCAGGGGAGAGGCGCGGGGAACGAGTCTAAAATTTGCTGTCCCGCCTCACTATTGCTCGTCTCGCGGCGCTCCGGGAAATGGTGGCGCCATCAGCCAAAGGCGGGACGAAGGACGAAGATGGGCAGGGGGCACCGCAGGGGCACGGCGGCGATTTCCTTAGGCACCGGAATCCGCATTCAAGGCAGGGAAAGACTGACGCGGGGCGCTGTGAGCCCCCGACCCGAGGGGCTCCTCAGCGGCCCAAAGGGCAGGGAGGCCACCTCCCCGGAGAGGACCGAGGGCTTGGGGGTGAGCGGCCCCCGCTGGAGATCCACGCCATGTGTAATCGGGGCCCCTTTCGGGTTGGGGAAGCCCAAGACGCGGGGCGCGGAGTTGCAGCGGAGTGTTCGGAGAACAGGGAATTACTGATTCCACGCGCAGACGTGGGGTCTAACCGCCCCCGGCTCTACCCCAGGACGCACACCCCTCGCCATCCCATCGCCCTCGCGCACTGGGCCTTCTAAGGCCAGGCGCAACGATCGAATCCCCACGTTTCTCTTTTCCTAACATCCCCACACCCCATCTTATCCTTTGCTGCAACCAGATCCATGTTAGATTTGACTCCGAAAGAGAGGGAGACTTTGGAATTCCATAGTTGGGTGGATTCTGAATCGACGCGGCTGGCCGAAGTGCGGCGTCTCCCTGAATATCGCCGCTGATTGAAAACTCTCGTCCGGGGCGCTGGCTACGTCCCCTCCCAGCTGCCCACGCCACAGAGGGAGTTTCTGGAAATGTCGTAGTTGATGGGTAACCACCTTTTGGAGGTGGCTTGAGCGGATCTTGAAAGCATCTGTTCTCATTGAGTAAACATAATGAGGTCAGGGGTCATTTTAAAGGGCAGAAAAGGGCCTTTGCTTTGTGAACTTATCCTCAATAAGTATTTGAACTTATTCTCAAAACTCCAGGATGTAATTCTTGCACACTTTCAAGGTGACACGATTTTACTGGTGAAAAGCAAGTTGAACATTGTTGAGGAAAATTACTAAACCATAAAGTACTTACAGTGAGGAAGTGCTTATATGTGGTATTCCCACCTTTTAACCCATGCTGGTGTGCTTGGACTTAATATTGAAAAAAAGAAGTCTTCTATGGAAAGATAGAATTGGTTTGGGGGGGTGTGTGTTGGGGGGAGAGGTGGAATGAATGAAATAGAGAGAGAGAGACTGTGTGTGTGCGCGCGCGTTTTGCGGGGGGGGGGGGGGATCTGTTGCTGTAAACTGGAATGACTGTATAGGTCTAATTTGGGATGGTACAATAGTTCCAGAGAAGGCAGGCAAAAGGAAACGGTTGTCTGTCTGCTTAGAGGTTTGAGTAGCTTGAAGTGGTGGTGATTAAGTAGGAGAAGCCAGAAGGAAATTCTCTAAAATAAGCACTCAAGAGAACTACTTGTCAGGAGGCAAATTATGGGCGAACTTTGGTTTATGACAAAGCTGTTAGAGCCTACTAAACATCAAGGAGAATCTCCTTAAAGATAGTATGAATTTAGAGATTAACTGGGGGATGGGCAGATAAAAACTGATGAAGAGGAATACTTAGCTAATAGTCAATGGAAGACCTTACAATTCTGCCCCCTCCAACAAATATTAAAAGGTGCTTTTTTCCCCCTTAACTGTCCAACCTGTATGTGTGTGTCTGTATGTGCTTACATAAATGTTTATGTTCATTCATGAAACAGGTACCATAAAAGTATGCATAGCAACTTGGCTCGTCCCAGTCTACCTCCTTTTTACCAGCAAACTTACTCATGTTTAACAAGGAAGAGTGGCCAACATTCAGATTATGTGCAGAGGAAAATGGCTTATCTTCAGCTCTCTCTGTTGAAATTAACTTTTGGTACAGAGGAAGATGGACCATATGTCTTCAAGGATCAATTTTAGAAAGTTACTTATCTGCAGCTTTATGTTTTGGTCAGTTTTGGAAATCAGAATATAGTCCAGAACTAATAATGTAAGTAGTTAATTTCTACCAGTTTTAACACAATGCAAATCCTGATTTCCAAATATCTCTTCCCAAAGGATTTAATTTGTTCAAACTCAAAATTTTAGTTTGAGAACAAGTTATTGTGCAGGATTAGAACTAACGTGTCAATTTTTTCCAGTAATAAATGAAAGCATTATTTAGGGGCTTCATCAAAGGAGTTATTTGTTAGTGAAGCTTGAAGGTTTATGAGTTTTTTTTATAGGGCTTTGCTCCTTTATGAATGTGGAAGAAATGAATCCAAAAGTGTAATGGAGTTATGATTCCCAGAATCTGTGCACCGTTTGATAGACGCCTCTTTTCTTAGTGGTAGTTAGCAGTGTCAGAAATCATAATTTTGTTAGAATTGGTGACAACTCAAAGCATTGACTAAATTATAACTGTAATGGGTATGTTTTGTCTTTGTAAAGTATTCATCCTCAAATAGACAATATAAAACATAAATTATGTCAAATTCAAAATTGGGGAAGAAACAAAAATGTTTGTAAGCCTTTGTAGATTTTTGTTACACTTCAAGTTTATGGTTTTAACGAATCATGACTTACTCTGTTACCAAACAGTGCAGATTTAAAAGCCTGAAAATTAAAGACAATCCTAAATTTCAGTGGGTAAGAATATGAAGTTGTTGACTTGTCCTGAAAAAGATTTTGAACAAGATAAAACATTGCTTTTTTGCCGTTTTTGCCAAACCACAGATTACTTTCACACAAGAAATTATATACTTCCATTAGGTTAATTAAAAACCAAAAAATAAACCATATTTGTAAGTAGAAGATACCTTATTATGAATTTCATTGTTTCTAGAAATCAATGCATATGTTCATTCCAACTCCAGGGCATACTAACTAAAAACAAATATTGTAAAGATATATTAATCAACACACTGGTCATTTGTGTACTCTTCACGCTGAAGCAATTGCCAGTTCAAGCCACGGTAGGTTATCTTACTCCAGGCAATAGACAAGAGGAGGAAGCCTGGTGTTTAAATGACCTTGACAGGAAAATTGGCCTCTGTTATTATATTTTTCTGCTTGTATTGTGACATGTTGCTCATAATGAACTTTAAGCAAAAGTCAGAATCCGTCATGCACTTGAATGGGCACAAAGTTATTACAAATACCCATGTATATTGTCTGTTCAAGTTTGAGGTGACATTGGTATCAAATGAAATCATATTGCTATTGGTCTTATGGAGATCAAGTTACTAAATAAAGATGAAATAAATTTCTGTCAATACAAGTCTCCAGGGCTAATCTTTTGCTGTCAAACAAACAAGTGTTGCTCATGGGCACAAAGGTAGGAGTGGGGAGAGAAAACATCACGTATCAGTTCCTAAGTGGAACTAGAAATCTATCACGAAAGGAAGAACAGACCTTCAGTTTGATTTAACTCTGTCCTTCTTGATAACAATAATATAGACATTTTGCGTGTAAACAATCTAAAAGTTCAGACCCCCCTGATGGAGATCCCTCAAATCACAGTAACAAATTTGGTGATGTCTTTTGATAACCCACCATAGAAATGTAATTTTTCAGTTAAATGTGAACCAAATCTGGAGTAGGTGAGACATTCCACAAATGTCTTTTTTTTTTTTTTACACAAATCTCTGAATAAGATTTGCATCTTTAAAATTTCAGCAAAAACGAGAGTTTGGAACAAACCTCTATAGGACAAGGAACCCAATTTCTTTGATGAATAATAGGAAGGGGGAGAGGAAGAGGAAGAAGAGAAAGGGGAGGAAGACCAGATAATTTTTTGTTGTAGGGAAATGTCTTACGCATTTTTAGGATGTTTAGTGGCATCTGTGGCTAGGGCAAAAGGAGGAGGAGGAGACCAGGACAGGGAGAACAAGAAAACCTATCATTTGAAAGAGATTTTAAAAACAGAATAACTGGGGTGCCTGGGTGGCTCAGTCTGTTAAGCGTTCAATTCTGGATTTCAGTTCAGGTCATGATCTCTGGGTGGTGAGATCCAGCCCCGC